TATAATTACAAACAGTAAACCATTAGATAACACATAGTAGTCTAATGGCCGAGCGCTCGTATTTTTCAATCCACTGATAATGTATAAGAGGATATCATTGACTCTTTATAGGAGCTATGGATTTCACTATCTATGAATAACGAATCTACACATACACGAGTCATACCCCTAATGTACCGGCAAGCGTACCTTTACATAATGTCAGGATGTCTCCCTTTAGGACATTAAAGGATACAGGTCAAGCATACGGGTTCATCATCCATCTCAGGATTAAGATGACAACATATAATTCATCAAAAGTGAATTGTTGTATTCAAACAGAATTATTAATTAAAATAATTTAACTTTGGTCTGATCCAATATCGATTTCACCATTAGAAACTATATCAATGTCTCCACCCATGGAGTCCCACCTCCGACGACCAAGACAAGTCGTCTCCGTTAGGAAGTAGACAACATAACAATCTTAACATGAATAAAGCGCCCAACTTTATTCACTTGATTGTGGATCATAAGATTTAGACTATCATCTTTAGATTCTTGTCTTCTGCATGTTCTTCACATTACATGCATTAACTAAAGATTTAGAATAACAGTCTCAGACTTTCAGTTTGCTTATCATACATTCAACTATTATGAACATAAAGAGGACAATACATAGATATATGAAATAAACAAATCTTTATTAATAGTCAAAATGTCTCAAAGAATATTGTTACATTTATTCCTAAGGGCATAAACGCTAACAACACTGCCCACATTGTATGCGCTCTTGCATCCCTTAACACATTCATCTCCAATTCTGTATTATAATTCAATGGTTGTCCTTTGTGGTTGTTATTGTCATTGATATCCTCTTCAACATTCTGGGGATCAATGTCCGCAACCGGAACGCCATCTTGTGAGTACTGATCCAATAGTCTGTCTCCATTACGGTACATGTGGATAAGATTATGGACTATAGCACATGCAACTGGAACCTTAACTTACTTTTCAATGGGGGTAACGATTAATACTTTTCAAAATACGAAACCTGGCCTTCCACACACCAAATGTTCTTTCGATCACATTACGTAGGGAGGAGTGTGTGTAGTTGAACAATTCACGTTCACTGCGGAAGCCTCTACCACGTCGATTCCTATACTCTTGCAAATGGTATGTTGTTCCCCGATATGGTGCCATGAAACATCCATTGTTTGTGTAGCCCGAATCGACGAGGTAAAATTTTCCTACATGTATTTAAGTAATCACAATCAACAGTTATAATTTGGATGCAGTTTACGAATTAGCTAGATATTGAAAGAGACGTTTGTTCCAGTAGCTTGGTGGCGGCTTCGGAAATCGTTTCCGCGGGTGATCTAAGGTGGACACAAGTATTCTCGCATTGTGTGCTAAACCCTCCTAGCCAGATAGCATGTACGTAAATCTCATATCAAATGAGCAAATTGCGAGCACGTTAAGCGAAAAGAACCCCTTCCTATTCCTGTAAAGTTTGGCCGTTTCACGAGGAGGCACACATGAAACGTGCGTACCATCTAGTGCTCCAACACAATCCTTTAAATTAACAAAATTACGTCCGTTGTTATGTTATGTGTTAGTTAAACTCATTTTGTGATAAAAATATGACTAAAGTTATGAAGTAGAGTAATAGATTTATGTAATAAGTTGGTAACTTACGTCAAACCACGGTGAATACTTGTTCCCACCTGCAATTATGTGAGGATCCACGGTAGAAAAATCTGGATGTCTTATGAAGTATGTTTTTAATTGGCAAACCGCTTCAAGAACTTTTGTGAAATACTCTGATACTGTGGATCCTGAGCGCTGCCAATGGTCCTGCGCCTCCCTATTAGTTTGGTTTTGACACAGTATTGTAAGAAAAATGAATAAGTGCTCCTCGACATTTAGGTGGATTGTTGGTTGCAATAATCCCCTTTCTTCAAGCATAGAAGATAGGCATCTAAAAGCGTCACTACTCATGCGAAGAGTATATTCAGTTTATGGGTTCATTCAAGGGAAATAACAAGCTAGCTTATATATTCTAGACAACCTACGAAGCTTATTTACTCTCTAAGCTTATTCTAGACAAACTTCAATTCGTTTCCTTGTTTGGGAGGGTCTTTACCATGAATAACATTATTGAAAGTAGGCGTGAAAGCTATTCCAACTCAGTTTAGTTTTTTGAATAATCTCGTGTTAAGGAACGTTTATTTGCATATCACTTCTTAAAATGTATATATAATAGAAAAGAATGGTGAGATATATATTCGACCCTTATAAGCTCGTCAAGAAACGTGTACAAGTATAGTTTTGCTCTTATAAACTCCTCAAGAAACATGTACAAGTATGGTTTTGCTCTATGAACTTTTTTCCAGTAACTGAACACCATCTTTTGACAAACTATTGCATATGGATGTTAAATCAAAAAACGCATATGGATGTTAAATCACACAAAATCACAAAATGCCGAACAAGTAAATCAATGGATTTGGTTATATTCTTACCGAATTTGAGTCTATGGAGGAGGAAACTTGATCCCCTTGGAGATTCCCCAAACGCGAGGAAGAGTTAGCAAGTTTGAGGTACCGGCGACGACAAGGGTAGGGGAAGTAGGTTTGATGTCTCGACTGGAGGGCTTTACGCCGCGAACTCTTGCTTCTACATCGAACTACGATGTTTACCCACCGAGGTCGCCGCATCGATGGATTCCCCACAAATTTTCCCGTTTTGAAGGGGAAACAAAAACGATGCAAATTGGCTTCGGAAAGGTTGTGGGCTAGGGTTTCCAAATCTAAGATTAGAGGAAAATAGATCTGCAATGAATTTTGGACAAAGGAGGAAGGGTTATAACATTGAAGCAGTAGACGGTGGTATGATCAAAAGAGATTTGTAACCTGTCAATTTCGATCAGAGAAAAAGCACGTGAACGGTATGGTGTAAAATGAAAGCCTCAAAAAGGGAGAAAGCTTCGACATGCATGACAAAGGTGGAGGAATCTCAACTGTATGCTTAGAAGGTTACTGTAGAAATTTAGAGGATTTAACTCGAGTAGGTGGGAGACCATTAACTCAAGAATGAGAAAAAACTCGAGTTCATTTTCGAGTAAGCATGAGCCGAACTTTCACTTGGGCCAACTTTCTTCATTCGAGTGGATTTTTTCGAGTAAAAACAAGCAACAGAGCCTTAAATGGTTCACATATCATAAACTCAAATAGTATGCTAATTCAAATATTCCCCAAATATTAAAAAAATAATAAAAAAAGTAATTCGATGTTGCTGGCTTGCTGCCATTTAAAACTAATAAAAAAATATTTTAATAAATGAATAAACAAAATAAAAATAAAAGAAAATAATAGAAAAGAGAATTGAATAGCAGAGAAAAATAGATCTCGGAAAGAGTAAAGTGAGAGAGGGGGAAAAGAGCAATATTAAAATAAAGCGGACAATAAATTCAGACCCCTGACCTGACCACACACCTTGCGGATTCCCCCTCTCCTCCTTTCTCACCTCCATAAGTAGCCCCCCAACCCTCCTTCCCGCTTCCCATCCCCCAAACAAACTCACTCCCCAAACCCCTTTCTCTCTCTAAAAAAAATGGCCGCCTTATTCACATTACCCATCCTCCTCCCCATTGCCTCACTCCTCTCTCTCCTATTTCTCTCCGCCGACGCCAGAATCGGCGGCGTCTACACCGGCAGTCCCTGGGATTCCGCCCACGCCACCTTCTACGGCGGCAGCGACGCCTCCGGAACCATGGGTACTTACATTAGTTATCAACATATATCTTAATTTTTCCGACATTATTAACTTTATATATATTGTTACACCCACACTCTCTCTCTAACGCAGCATTTATAACGATATTACAGGTGGTGCTTGCGGGTACGGCAACCTGTACAGCCAAGGGTACGGCGTGAACACGGCGGCGCTGAGTACCGCTCTGTTCAACAACGGGCTGAGCTGCGGGTCGTGCTTCGAGCTTAAGTGCGACGGCGACCCGAAATGGTGTCACCCGGGGAGCCCTTCCATCTTCATAACGGCCACCAACTTCTGTCCTCCCAACTTCGCGCTTCCCAACGACAATGGCGGCTGGTGCAACCCACCTCGCCCCCACTTCGACCTCGCCATGCCCATGTTCCTCAAGATCGCCGAGTACCGTGCCGGCATCGTCCCTGTCTCTTACCGCCGGTCAGTAAAAAGCAAAAAAAAAAAAAAAAAAACTCCATTTCCGTTTCTTTAATTTGTTTAGTTCTGCTTCGTTTTTACGCTCTTTATGGCTCAGATTCCATTTTCTATCTTCGTTTCTCTCTCTAACTCTGCCTCTGCCTCTGCCTCTGCCTCTGCTCTGTGTGATAATTTTCGTTTGTTCTTTTTTACACTTTTACCCTTGAATTTCTCGTAATTTATTCGGTATTTGCATTTTTGTCCTTTTTTTTATAAAAAAATTAAGTTTGGAGTTGATATATTAGCCTCTCTTTTAAATATTATGAGAGATGAGAGGCTAAATTGTTAAGACAAATTAAAGGTAAGAGTGGCAAACTACGTAAATAGAGGGAGCTAAGTGCTAAAAACGGAGTCAGTGCTTTTACTTTTTGCTTGTTAGCGAAAAAATAGATGTTTAGATTATAACAAGTTTTAAAAAGGTAAAGCGCACAAATGCCTTAAAGAGTAGGGTTTCTAGTGGTTGTTTTAGTTTTGGAAGAGAAGAGCGGTTTTTTTTTTGTAAAACACTTTTTTTTTTCTTTCTAAAACTCCAACACTTTTTAAGTGCGCGGTGCGCCTAGAAAATGAGCAAACAGAAAATGTTGATATTTTTTTTTCTCGGGAAACAAACATGAGCTGGGTTAGAGAATCTTTTATCACAGGACCAGTGTTAGTTACGAATCCGTTCAGGTTTATTGTGTCATTTATCCAAATAAAACCAGCGGAAATCCGGCTGGCCGTTTATTATCTTTCGGTCCACTTTTCACCTTTGTCATAACTCTCCAATATATAAAATGACCAAAATAGCCTTGTACCAAGTCAAATTCCATTTCCACCCTTTCAAGCACTGAGGGGCTTTTATGTAATTGTGTTCTTTGTCCGAGAACCAGGAGCCCTCAGTGAGCCAACAGAAATTTGGACCGATGCGTCAAATCCAAATTGCGCCTCGAGAAACGCGGTCGCCCCCGGTTTGTTTCTGTAGTTTTTTCACTTTCCTAGGGGTATTACCGTAAAAAGAAATATGAGGATAAAATTGTCAATTCACGCTGCTTTTCCCGGCAAATCAGGATGGGAAAAGTCAGAAAATCGGATACGTATTTTCACGCTCTCCCACGCGTGTGATTGTGTTGGGTCACTCATCAATGTGAAAAGGAGCAAAAAACCATTTCTTATTTTTTCAATTTCTTGGGAAACTCCACAAAACATACACCAGTCAAACCCAGGGTTTTGTATTCAACTTTTTATTTTTCAACTTAAACCACAGTAAAAACCCTATTTATCACTAGTAGAGTAAAAGCATAAAGAAACTTCTACGGTAAAAAAAGTTTCTTTATCCATTTGATCTTTTTTATTTTATTTTTTCCATTTGATCTTGAGTGAGTATTTTTTATTCCACAATTCCCCATTTTTATTGTGAGCGTTAAAATTTAATCAAATGATTAAAAAAATTGCATATACAATGTTTATTAGTTAGTGATTACATTTATTAAATTTGTATTTTATGTTATTATATATAATTTTAAAGCGATTATGAACTATGACTTGATTATTTTCATCTAATTATATGTTTATTAATCATACCAATGTTGTTGATTTTACAGGGTCCCATGCAGAAAGCAAGGAGGGATTAGATTCACAATCAACGGCTTCCGTTACTTCAACCTGGTTTTGGTGACCAACGTGGCAGGTGCAGGGAACATCGTGCAGGTCGGCGTTAAGGGAAGCAAAACGGGCTGGCTGTCCATGAGCCGAAACTGGGGCCAAAATTGGCAGTCCAATGCTGTCTTAGTGGGCCAGGCCCTTTCTTTCCGGGTTCGGGCCAGCGACAGACGGAGCTCCACTTCATGGAACATTGCGCCCGCCAACTGGCAGTTTGGTCAAACCTTCACGGGAAAAAATTTCCGCGTTTGAAAATTCCAAAAAAAAAAAGACCTTTTTTTTTTCACTGCCCCCATTTTTTTTTCATCCTTGTTTTGTCGTTTGTTGTGACTTTTTTTTTGTTTTGAAGTTTCCCGCCTTGGGATTTTCCGTTATTTTCTCGGGAAAATCTCAAGTGCTTGGGATGGGAGTATAAAAAGTAATAGATGGGGTGATAATATGGGGTTTTTGGTAAAAGATTAAGGGGGTTAAAAAAAAAAAAAAGTTGGGTGAAGAATGTAATAGGGGTAGGAAAGTCACCTACTTTGTTTGGTGACTTTTACTTTTACTTTTTTATCTTTTTGTTACTTTTGCTTTTTTGGTTAATGACTTTTTGGGGGGTGTGTTTAGTGTTTTTAAGTGGGAAATGTGGCCTAGTGAAAATTTCCAAACTAGCCGCGTAGTAATTGTGTTGTGTCATGGGGCTGAAGCGGCTGCAAAGAGGCTAAAAAAACATATAGCATGTAGCCCGCAGCTCTCTTTTTTTTTCAAATATAATATGGTATTGTGATATCAAATATAATGGAGTTATTATTTACTATATAAAGTCGTTGCTTCTTTTTGTTACATTTTAGTTGTCCTTCTTTACTTGCGCTTTACCGTTGGATGGTACTTTTGTAGAGAGAAATTAATAATCTTGTTGGGGGACCCATCAAACATGAACAAGGCAGCAGCAACAGATAGCAGCGAGGCTGTTCTTTAATGTGGTTGGTTAATGGTTACACTGGTTGTTGCAAGTTGGAAGTGGTGGTTTGTGTTTGTAGGTTGTTATTGTGGCACTGGCAGTGGTACAAGGTAATAATGCTGTAATAATATACTGGGTTACTGTCAAATACCTTGTTCTTCTAACAACAAATATCTGACAAAAAATGCTTAAAGGTATCATTAGCCTTAAGCACTATCATTAATACATAAGTCTCATCACATATGAGACCCATATTTTATTAATAGGTGGTGTTTAACACTGTCGGTATTAAATAACATTGCTTATATATGACGCTGAACATGAACGCATGTAAAAGCGGACATAACTTAATATAGATTTATCATGTTAAAATAGTACTCTACTGATGAGGTATTATTTCAATACACTATCATTGAATTCAACTATTAAAAGAATTGATTTTTTTTTTTCGTTACATGGTTATGGTGGTAACTTAGCATTATACCGGCTAAAGTGTGAAACCAAAGTGAGGAAAGCAAAACATATGCTTGTAATATTTCTTGTTCCATATTTTGTTTTCACCCCTCTTACCAGTTTTTTGTTGTGGGTTTTTCATTTTGATGCCAAAAAGTTAACATCTAAGTAATGTGCTCTTTACTGGTCATATATTGCATAGATGGAGGAGTTCAGATCTGTTGTCTCAGATGGTTGTCCCTTCAGCCGTTCTTTCAATAATATTTTGCTACCTTATTATTACTTAACACATCAATTCTTTTCAATAATATAGGCCTGTGGGCTTCTTTAGGCGATATATCGCCTATTTACAGGCGACATATCGTCTGTCGTTCTGTTATCTACGCACCAGACTAAGGCAGGTGACATATCCCTTATAAGAGGTGACATATCGCGTCTCTCGCTGTTTTTTGCACACATGTTTATTCAATTTCACCCATTCCTGCTATAGGTGGGCTGGAGCACACTTTCTTGCACTCCAAAACCACCTCTTTTGTGCCTTAAAATCATCTTTCGCCTCCTCTTGTCATTGATTCACAAGTTGGGCAAATATTCTTTTTTTCTTCATGTAAAATTATTCAAGTTTGCATTTATTTATAATTCATATAAAAAGCACACAAAAGACATTAAACTAACAAAAATGTTTGAAAATTTATAAATATTCAAGCTTAAAAGTACTTGATTTGTTGGTAAAAATACCCGTCATCAGTTGAGTAATAGGAATTAAGCATAAGGGAAGAGTTCGTGGGAGCTCGGTTAGGCCAAAAAGTGCTCTTGAAAAGGTCAAAGAAAAAAAAGAAAAAAAATTGTCCAAACTCAACAGGTTTGTTTAATCAACTTATTATCACATATTTAAATTATAATAATAAAAACTATACCTTATGTTATTTTTTATGAACACTTTGCAGGTTTCTTTTGATCTTATTGTGCACGAGCAATTTAATAATGAAGTACCAAATAGATGTGTTACCGTTCCAACTCAACAAAATCCTCTACTACTTACACCAACATCTAACCTCAACCAAATAATTGTCAAAAATTTTATGGACTTAAAATATATACTTGATATAATATCTTATAAAGTTAGTAATTACATTATGTTAAATGCAAACGGAATCTCATGTTGAGTTTGGAGATTTTGAATTGTTAAAACAAGTATTATATATGTTTTTATTTACGATTGTAATTATTTTTTGATACAATAAAGATATTTTAATTTATACTATTATTTCTTTCTTTTTTGTCTCTTTTAGATATGGCTTACAACATTATCATTTGAAGGATTTAACTTCAATGATAATCTCTTTAAGTAATTCGGTCTTAATTTATTAAAAACCATTTGTACTATTTAGTTGGATTTTATTTTTTGAAAAGATTTAGTTAAATATTTTACAAATATTTAAGTTCAAAATACTTAATTTGTGAATAAAATACTCACTCATCAAACTCTTATTTTATATTGCTACTTAGTTGGATGCTTTTAACTGATCGTCTAGTTCAATTCTAGTATTTTTCTTTTCCGTTGAAAATTCTGATTTGATGTAGGAGTTTTTATACTATTTGGATATAGCGCTGCAACTTTTTACAGTGTATCAGATAAATTAAAAAAAAGATTGGAAAAGAAGTTATACGTCAAAACATGTCTAAAGACGTCTCCGTCCTTTTTTTCTGTTTCTAACGCCGTGTGAGGTATAATAAGAAAAGAATTTATTTATTAAATTATAATGATGTGTCAAAATATTATTGAGAGAACGATTAAAGGGATAATTAGGCTTTATTCGTTTCGTAGATTTAAATTTTTAATTTGAGTTTAGATATGTTATTTTTTTAGAGTTTTTAATTGTAATAAAAAAAATTAGATGTGATATTTTTTAAAAATTTTAACTGTAAAAACTTAAAATTAAAAACTCAAATCGGTAAAATGAATGAGTCATTAAAATAGCATATCTCGACTGTAGATGGAGATGGTATTATTTAATATTTTGGTAACATTAAGCGGCATTAATATTTTTGTCGTCCGAATCAAAATCAAGATAAATGTGGTGGTAAAATATACGTGGTTTTCTCACCATTAATTAGGGAGCAGAAGCAAAGAGAGGAGGAAAAAAAAAAAAAAACTCATTTGCCAAATTGACAAAATGTAGAGATATTATTACCAACAAGTCTTTGAAGAAATACAGCGCACGTAGACCCTCTTTTTGTCGGTAGATGTTCAGAGCACCATGTGCTGCTCCACTGGCACTGACTCGTCCATTTATTTCCTTTTTCTCTTGTTTGTGATTCCTTCAAATTGCACTATTTCGGAAGCCTACTATTTTGTAATGTAATTCCTTTTGAGCTTTATATGCCTTTTCTTTCTCCAAAGTCCGAAGACATCCATTTCACTGTAACAAACATTGTCATGTTGCATTTAGCCAAAAAAATAAAAAATAAAAAATAAATAAAAATCATAAAAATAAAGAAAGAAAGAAAAAAAAAACATTGTCAAGTGTCCAATTTGTCAGGTGAATTAGTGAATTCTCATTTTTCATAAGTGAATTTACTCAAAAATTACATTATTAAAATTTCATTTGCCCTTTCATTTGTTTCAAAAATAAATTTAGTAGATAACTCATAACTTTTTTTTTTTCTTTTAATATAGAGATGGGAAATTTAAACTCTATACTTTTGGGTGGAGTCAGGCATGAATCAGGTATGAAATTTTATATTTTTTTAGGAAGATTTTAGAATCTCAAAAACATTACCCATTAAGAAGTTAAAATTAGTTGACGGAAAAGTTGGTGCTTGTTAGTATTAAGTATTGTCCTTTTAACCAACATTTTAGGGCTGAGTATATCTTTTAAGCAAAACCCATTCTTGCCCACATTTTTATGAGTTTTTATCTTAAGATAGCATAGCATTCTGAGGATAAAGTCAATATATTGGCAAATTTGTCCACCATCTACACAAGTTGCTGATTTCATAGGCGTCTTGATACTTTGAACTTCTCAATACAAATGGGATCTAGATTTTGATTTGTCCACTTGTACTTTTGCAAAGGGATTGCATCTATAACTTGTGGGCCTTTCATTTATAGAGGTGCATTTTAAATTGCATCTTTGGCAACCTATTTTCAGGGTCTAGCAAGAGAGCTCATAAGCACCTAATGGTGTTACAGAGACAAATGGAAAACTTCACCAATCAACTTGCTACTCAAATCTTCCACTTGTATTTGATTCTTTTTACGTACGTGTTATTTATCTCCATCAATTTTTTAGCCGTTCGATTAAATTTTAACGGTTTAATTTATAAGTGTCTACATAAAAAATAATATACAGAACTGTTGAAATTCAGTCAAATGGCTAAAAGACTTACCCTATTGGTTGAACAAAACATAGTGGCATATCATAAAAGTTTCCATCAAAATATATGCTGAAAACTTCAACTAAAATGAATATATCTTGAGTGTATTAAAAGTTCAAAACCTCAAAAAGACAATTGGCCTCTCAAGTGTTGCATGACTGCATATTTGGTAAGTTCTTTCGGCCGAGGCAATGAGACACAGGGCGGCAGTGCTAGGTTCTGTCTAGATAACATTAGAGCCCAAAAGGGTAAGACAAACTTCCACCACTTAAGTAAAGCAAGAATGGCATTTATGCCTTATCCAATATACCATCAAGAAAAACTTTCGGCCTTCAAAAGAATGGTTGCTATTAACCTTTCTTTTGCTACAAATTCCCTTTGAAGTAAAAAAAAAAAAAAAAAAAAAAAAAGGGATCTCATTGTATCAAGGATTTTGTCTTCTTCCCAAGTTACTCTTGATATTAGGATTCTTGCATAAATGTCCTTTTGAGGTTTATAGGGATAGATGAAGGAGGAATTTGAACATGTTCCAAAACATTTTATTTTCCCTTGGTCTTGCTAGCTCTAACTTATTCTTTTTAGCTCTTAGTTATATTATCACAATTCACTTTTTTACTACAGCGTTTGCTCTCACAAAAATTTAAATTTAACTTTTTCTGTTACAATTTTATTTCATATGAATTTA